GTTGCAGTATAATGTTTCGATCCATGTGAGCATCCCTCTCCCCAGTCCCACCTTCGTGAGTGTCGCCATCATAAATTGCCATTTCACCCGGTCGAATGCTTTTTCTGCGTCTTTGGAGCATAAGTAGATTTTTGTTCTCTCTCTTTGCCAGATGTTGGATAGTGAATGCCCGCAGGGTGCAGTCTCTAGCTTCTCGGCCCGGAATGAAGCCCGTCTGGTCTGGATGGATCAGTCTGGGCATGTAAGGTTGTAGTCTGGTTGCTATGATCTTAGAGAAGAGTTTTATGTCCGTGTTGAGAGAGAGATGGGGCAGTAGTTGCCACAATTTTCTGGGTTCTTACCCGGTTTGGGTATGACTGTGATGGTGGCTGCCAGTGTTTCCGGGGGGAACATGCCTCCTTCCTGTAGTTGATTTAGTATGGCGGTCAGTTGTGGGATTAGGATGTCACCAAATTTCTTGTAGTATCCTGCTGGAAAACCATCTGGGCCAGGTGCTTTGCCGTTTTTCGCAGACTTGATTGCTGTTTGGACTTCATCTTCAGAGATCTGGGCTTCGAGTGTTTCTGCTTCTTCCCGTGTGAGCATGTCAGGCTGGAATCCTTGTAAATATTGTTCCACGTCTCTAGTTATCTCGTCCCGGTGGGTCCCTGCTCGGTCAGTGTGTATATTGTACAATTTTGTATAGTATAAGCGGAACTCTTCCGCTATTTCTTCCGGAAATTGCTTGAGGTTTCCCTTCGAGGTTCGTGGTGTATGTACTGGTGCTCTCGCTTGTTGACCCCTTATCATTCGGTCTAGGAGTCTACCGTCTTAATTGGCGTGGATGTAGTAGAAAGCTTTAGAGTGTTCCAGTGCTCTATGGTGTTTGCAGTTTATGAGCTCTGTGAGCTGTCAGCGTGCTGTTAGGAGTTCTCGGTATTGGGCGTCTAGTTGATTGCGTTTATGGAGCGTCTCCAAACTAGTTATTTGGGCCGTTAGGTCTGCAATTGCTTGCTGGGTTTCTTGTTTTTTGCGTGACGTGGTTCTTATAAAGTGTCCCCTGAGGACGCTCTTGTGTGCTTCCCATAGTGATATCTTCGACATGCCTTCCGTGTTGTTTTCTTCGAAATATTGATTCAAGTGTTCTGTCAGTTGGACTGGACTGTTATATCTAAAAGGAGCGATTCGTTCATCCTCCACGATGTTCGAGTGGGTTTAAAGAGAGGATAGTGCAGGTGTATGGAAGTTTCACTATGATCTGCCAATGAAGTAGGGCTGATTTCAGCCTTCTTTAGGTGGGTAAGGCCTTCTTGTTGAATGAAGATGTAATCTATGCGCGAGTAGCGTCTGTGTAGGGTCGATTAGTAGGTGTAGTCACGGCCATCTGGTGTAGTGTTCGCCATGGATCAACCAATCGTATGTCTTGGAGGGTCTTGCGGATCTTTCTGATTGCTGCTTGCGCTATTGTGCTATGTCCAGTGAATGAGTCTGCGATCGGGTCTAAGGGTAAGTTATAATCTATACCTCCGCGCTCCCCAGAGAAAGGGAAGATAGGATGGGAAATGGTGAGTGGTTAACTAGTGGGGGTCTCCCGGCTGCGGCCCGCCGATCGTCAGTGGGCGGCCGTCGGGGTAGCTAAGATTGGGTGGGGGGTGGTAAAAAGTGTTAGTAGACTCAGGTAGGGTTATCTCAAAGCTCACGTAGCCTTGATCGGTGCCCACCTGTCCCTGGTCCTCAGTGTCTAGAGGGCTCCCTGTGTGGATGTTTGGTCGCGGGTCTGTACTCCGCTGTCTGGACTTACTTCCTCGGGGGGTGGTCTCCGTGGGTAGAGGGTACCTGTGTAACTGGGTTGGATGGCAAAGCCAAACCACCACCTAGGTTAGACTAGGGTAGCAAGGCAGTGTTCTCCCCAGTGGTCTATGTATACACAGGGTCAGTTCGGAGTTGTGGCCTTTTAACTGTGTATTTCGGCCACTCAAGTTGTGGTGATGTGGATATGCGGTAAAGTTTGGATTGTATATGTCACCCTCCGTGAGTTGCACGTCCCACTGATGTCTAGCTAAACTTGTTACACTAAATTGCGTTGGTTGACTGGTCTGGAGGTCTTAGTATGGGTATATGTAAAGTTTTGGCGAGGTGGGTTTCCTTGCTAGTGGTTTTTGAGTTGGGTCTCTGCAGGGTCCTCGAGTCGCCCCCGGGAGTCCTAGAGGAGGTCTTGTTCTGTCTCGCATGTTTCTCTGAGTTTGTCTCCCCTAACGTCAGTTGTATCACAGTGGGTTTGTGTGGTGTTAATGCAGCTGTGGTCTCCCGTCCCCCATGGCATCTTCAATTGGTCTTCTGAGGTTGCGTCATTGTATGTCATTGTCACCCGGGGGGTGCAACCAACAGGTAACTTGCGGTTTTGGGTTGTCAGGATTTACGTGGGCTTCTGGTCTGTCATCGTCATCTTCCCCCCATGTTCACATATTCAACGTCCCCTAAAACAATAACTTTCCCATTCTGTTTCCCGCCCCCGTCTCCAGCACCTCGGTTGACTATGTGGGGATATCCAGGATCAGGCTCTGAGGGCTAGTCTTACATCATAGATCAGCTTCCTTTCATAGGTAGTTATTGTAGCAGAGTAGCAGGGGTTAATCCAAGAAATCTCCGCTGGTAACCAAGATTCAGCATGCAGCAGGCAGGAAACACAGCATAATCCCTTTTCCCAATGACTAGACAACACATAGTCTGGGAGTCAACTGAGGATTTAATGAAACATCACCCAATTTATGCGGTTCTTAATGTACAGGGTTTCTAGACTGGGACAGCAGGGGTTTTAATCATGGGAACTGTGTGGGAAACTGACCATGCATGGTCATTTCTCAGCATTCCCTGCTGCCCAGGGACAATGAATACATCAGCAAGTACATATAATTGGATTAACGGTGGTTACAGTAAAATACAGTATTTTTCATTAAAATATATTACTTATACAATTCCTTCCAGTATCCCCCCCCCGCCTCTGGTAGCCCCCCCACCCCAAATATAGCTGTGGCCCGTAAGTCCCATGCTAGCTACTAGTCCTGGGCTCAGTGTGTGTGGTGTGAGTAGTGTTAAACTTATCTGGCTTCTCTGTGGTTGCTGCTTGCACTGGGCGCCGGGTGGCTCTCCAATCATGCGGGGGTGAGTGGCAGTCACTTCAGAGGGGTTCTCCGCAGGAGGGGGGTCCTTCTTCGATGTTACTCTTCAGGTGCGTCTGGATCAAGGTGTATGCGGGCTGCTGGGCGCCTCGGTGAGTCTCCCCTGCGCCGGCGTTGTTGCCTCGGTGTTTGGGGTCCTGGCCTATGCTCCAGTGGTCCGAGGATCCAGTCTGTTATTTCCATGGGTGGTAGTCCCAGGTGGTGCAGGAATCCCGGGCCTTTCTCCGGCTAGCGCAGAGGAATCCAGTCATTCTGGTGCTTCGCGAGTAGGGCAAAAGGAAATCCCCACTTGTAAGGGATGCTCCTTTCTCAGAGCAGTGCTGTGATAGGGTGCAGGGCTCTGCGGGCTTCAAGAGTGAGTGGTGACAGGCAGTGGTGTATCCTGGTATTGTGCTGCCCTAGGCAGGACAAAACCCAGGCTCCCCCCAAACTCCCCCCCAACCCCCCCACGCCCCCGCGACCCCCACCCATCCCTTCCCCCCGCCCCGCCTACTAAATACACACACACTCACTGACAGATACGCATACACTAGCTAACAGAAACATAAAACTCACTGACACACACAGACACTCACTCACTCACTAGCAGACACACACTAGCAGACACACACACACTCACTGACACACACACTCACAGGCAAACATACACACACAGTCAGACACACACACACAAACACACTCACTCACTAGCAGACACACTCACTAGCAGACACAAACACTCACTGACACACACACTAACAGACACATACACTCACTCAATAACAGACACACTCAATAACAGACACACACACGCACACTAACATACACACTCACTAACAGACACACACACACTAACAGACACACTCACTAACAGACACACACACTCACTCACTAACAGACACACACACTAACAGACACACACACTAACAGACACACTTACTAACAGACACACACACTCACTCACTAACAGACACACTCAATAACAGACACACACACACTAATAGACACACTCACTAACAGACACACACACACTAACAGACACACACACTAACAGACACACTCACACACACACTCACACACACACACTAACAGACACACACACACACTCACTATTAACAGACATTTATTTTTTTAATAGACGACACACACACACTAACAGACACACACACTAACAGACAGACACACACACACACTCACATTAACACATTTATTTTTTTAGCGCCCCTCCCCCTCCAGCCTCCTTACCTTTGGGAATGCTGGGGGGGGTTCCCTCTCGGTGGGGGGGTTCCCTCTCTCCCTGGGGTCCAGTGGTTGCTGGGCGCTGGGCGGGCGGCTGGCGAGGGAGCTCTTCCTCTGAGCGGTCTGCTCAGCTCCCTCGCGCGCCGAACAGTGAGGCTGGGAGCCGGAATATGACGTCATCAACCAGGCTCCCAGCCTCACTGTGCGGCGCATGAGGGAGCTGAGCAGACCGCTCAGAGGAAGAGCTCCCTCGCCAGCCGCCCGCCCAGCACCACCCAGCCCGACCGGCATGTCAGTTAGCCGCAAGGCTAACTAGGCATTTGCACTGGGCATTTGGGGGCGGCTTTTTTTGCCGCCCCCTGGAAAATGCCGCCCAAGGCAAATGCCTTGTTTGCCTCGCGGCTAAAACGCCCCTGGTGACAGGTCTTGATATAAGGCCACCTCTGCTCAGCGGAATCTCCAGAGTGGTCTTGTGCGTGCTTTCAGCATTATTTGTTCCTTGTACTTATAGTGGTGCAGGCAGCAGATGACGTCTCGTGGTGTGTTATCAGCTAATCGAGGCCTGTTTGCCCTGTGTGCCCAGTCAAATGTTAGGTTATCTGGCACGTCTGCTCCCAGTATGTCTCAGAAGAGGGCCTTCAGTGTGACTTCCACATCCTCCTCTGTAGGCGGCTCAGGGAGTCCACGCACGCGGATGTTGGACCGGTGGCCCCTGTTTTCCAGGTCCTCCATCTGTCGCCATAGGGCTAACAGCATATTCCCCTGCCTAATGACCACTGTGTTGGTAGTTACTGCTCTCTCCGCATTCACTTGCGTGGTTTCCTCCAGGTTCTGGAGTCTGCCATGTGCTATTATTTCCGTCCTCAGGGCTGTTACGTCTAAGCGGATCAAAGCGTGTATGTTGCCGGAAAGGACTTGGAGGTCGGTTTTTGTGACCATTTGGGTAGCTATAGCTCTGATGTCTGCGCTGATGTCGGATAGTGTGAGCCCGCCAGCCTCCGGGGGATGTGAGCGGGTCGGGGGGTCGGCCATTTCTAGGCCTGTCAGTTCACGGGCCATGTTTGCGGGTACTCATTTATGGGACCAGTCTAGGAGTTGGTGGGGTTATTCCAAGGTGTCTGGGAACTGTTCAGGTGTTTTGTGCGGCCCATTTTCAGTCCTCGCTACCCGGTTAGTGTGTTTATTAATGCTGCATGAGACAGAGCTCTCAGGTTAGGCTGCCATTTTCCTCAGCGTTCTGGCTACGCCCCTGTAATATCTTAATATAACCATAAGTTCATCATAAGTTCATAATCATTATTTTTTTTCTGTCAAGTATGAGAAGCAGTGGACGGTTGCAAAATAGTGAGCATTGGTTGAGACCCAAGGTGCGTAAAGATGACTATAAGGAAGGGAGATAATTGGGAAGGTAGGCAAGCGATTTCTTGTGATGTCCATATAGGTGGATTAAAATAAATAATAATAAATAAAATAAGAGATAGTATATCATAACTAGAGTTGAGCGGACACCTGGATGTTCTGGTCTAGGGGGTTCGGCCAAACTTTGAAAAAAAGTCTGGGTTCGTGCTCGAACTTGACCCCGAACCACACTGAAGTCAATGGGGACCTGAACTTTTGGGCACTAAAATGCCTCTAAAAAACTCCTGGAAAGGGATAGAGGGCTGCAAAAGGAAGTAAAATGTGGGTAAGAGTAGGACAAGTGCCCTGCAAACAAATGTGGATAGGGAAATCACTTAAAATAACATAAAAAATAAAAATACAGCTGAGCCATAAAATAGCACTAGATGGAATCTTTGATTTTAGCTTTTTAGCTTGCTCTTCATATCTGAGAGTCAAATAGAAGCGTCTAATTACTGTGCAGTTGTAAAAATTCTTATTTTCTGGGTGCTAATCCTCAAATATGAAGTGCACCCCACTAATTAGAATTTTTACAACTGCGCAGTAAGCGCACTGTTAGACGCTTCTATTTTACTCTCAGATATGAAGAGCAGGCCCCAAAATGTACTATTTAGCAGTTTAGCAGCAAACCAATTAGAATGTTTACAAGTGCGTTGTAAGCGCACTATTAGACGCTTCGATTTGACTCTCAGATATGAAGTGCACGTCCCAAAATGTACTATTTAGCAGATTAGCACCCAGAAAATATGAATTTTTACAACTGCGCAGTAAGTGCACTATTAGACACTTCTATTTGACTCTCAGATATGAAGAGCAGGCCCCAAAATGTACTATTTAGCAGATTAGCAGCAAAACAATTAGAATTTTTACAACTGCGCAGTAAGCGCACTATTAGATGCTTCTATTTGACTCTCAGATATGAAGTGCACGCCAAAAATGTACTATTTAGCAGATTAGCACCCAGAAAATAAGAATTTTTATAACTGCGCAGTAAGCGCACTATTAGATGCTTCTGTTTGACTCTCAGATATGTAAAGCAGGCCCCAAAATGTACTATTTAGCAGATTAGCACCCAGAAAATATGAATTTTTGCAACTGCGCATTAAGTGCACTATTACACGCTTCTATTTGACTCTCAGATATGAAGAGCAGGCCCCAAAATGTACTATTTAGCAGATTAGCAGCAAAACAATTAGAATGTTTACAAGTGCGCTGTAAGTGCACTATTAGACACTTCTATTTGACTCTCAGATATGAAGAGCAGGCTCCAAAATGTACTATTTAGCAGATTAGCGCCAAAACAATTAGAATTATTACAACTGCGCAGTAAGCGCACTATTAGACGCTTCTATTTGACTCTCAGATAGAAAATGCACGCCCCAAAATGTACTATTTAGCAGTTTAGCACCAAAACAATAAGAATGTTTACAACTGAGCTCTAAGTGCTCTATTAGACGCTTCTATTTGACTCTCAGATATGAAGTGCAGGCCCCAAAATTTACTATTTAGCAGATTAACAGCAAAACAATTAGAATGTTTACAACTACGCTCTAAGCGAAATATTAGATGCCTCTATTTGACTCTCAGATATGAAGTGCAGGACGCAAATGTACTATATAGCAGTTTAGCACCAAAACAATTAGAAATTCTTACAACTGCGCAGTAAGTGCACTATTAGACACTTCAGTTTGACTCTCAGATATGAAGTGCACGCCCAAAATTTACTATTTAGCAGTTTAGCACCAAAACAATTAGAATTTTTACAACTGCGCAGTAAGCGCACTATTAGACGCTTCTATTTGACTCTCAGATATGAAGTGCACGCCCAAAATGTACTATTTAGCAGATTAGCACCCAGAAAATAAGAATTTTTACAACAGCACAATAAGCGCACTATTAGACGCTTCTATTTGACTCTCAGATATGAAGTGCACGCCCAAAATGTACTATTTAGCAGATTAGCACCCAGAAAATAAGAATTTTTACAACAGCACAGTAAACGCACTATTAGACGCTTCTATTTGACTCTCAAATATGCAGTGCACCCCACTAATTAGAATTTTTACAACTGTGCAGTAAGCGCACTATTAGACGCTTCTATTTGAATCTCAGATATGAAGAGCAGGCCCCAAAATGTACTATTTAGCAGTTTGGCACCAAAACAATTAGAATTTTTACAACTACGCTCTAAGCGCACTATTAGACGCTTCTATTTGACTCTCAGATATGAAGAGAAGCCCCCAGAATGTACTATTTAGTAGATTAGCAGCAAAACAATTAGAATGTTTACAAGTGCACTGTATGCGCACTATAAGATGCTTCGATTTAAATCTCTCAGATATGAAGTGCACGCCCCAAATTGTACTTTTTAGCAGATTAGATGCAAAACAATTAGAATGTTTACAAGAGCGCTGTAAGCGCACTATTAGACGCTTCTATTTGACTCTCAGATATGAAGTGCAGGCCCCAAAATTTACTATTTAGCAGATTAACAGCAAAACAATTAGAATGTTTACAACTACGCTCTAAGCGAACTATTAGATGCCTCTATTTGACTCTCAGATATGAAGTGCAGGACGCAAATGTACTATATAGCAGTTTAGCACCAAAACAATTAGAAATTCTTACAACTGCGCAGTAAGTGCACTATTAGACACTTCAGTTTGACTCTCAGATATGAAGTTCACGCCCAAAATGTACTATTTAGCAGTTTAGCACCAAAACAATTAGAATTTTTACAACTGCGCAGTAAGCGCACTATTAGACGCTTCTATTTGACTCTCAGATATGAAGTGCACGCCCAAAATGTACTATTTAGCAGATTAGCACCCAGAAAATAAGAATTTTTACAACAGCACAGTAAGCGCACTATTAGACGCTTCTATTTGACTCTCAAATATGCAGTGCACCCCACTAATTAGAATTTTTACAACTGTGCAGTAAGCGCACTATTAGACGCTTCTATTTGAATCTCAGATATGAAGAGCAGGCCCCAAAATGTACTATTTAGCAGTTTGGCACCAAAACAATTAGAATTTTTACAACTACGCTCTAAGCGCACTATTAGACGCTTCTATTTGACTCTCAGATATGAAGAGCACCCCCAAAATGTACTATTTAGCAGTTTAGCACCAAAACAATTAGAATTTTTACAACTGTGCAGTAAGCGCACTATTAGACGCTTCTTTTTGACGCTCAGATATCAGGTGTACCCCACTAATGTACTTTTTAACACCCCAAAAATTTTAAGTTTTAAAACTGCAATGTGACAGCAGTATTTGACGCTTCTATTTGTCTCTCAAATATGCAATGCACCCCACTAATTAGAATTTTTACAACTGCGCAGTAAGCGCACTATTAGACGCTTCTATTTGAATCTCAGATATGAAGAGCAGGCCCCAAAATGTACTATTTAGGAGTTTAGCACCAAAACAATTAGAATTTTTACAACTACGCTCTAAGCGCACTATTAGACGCTTCTATTTGACTCTCAGATATGAAGAGAAGCCCCCAGAATGTACTATTTAGTAGATTAGCAGCAAAACAATTAGAATGTTTACAAGTGCACTGTATGCGCACTATAAGATGCTTCGATTTAAATCTCTCAGATATGAAGTGCACGCCCCAAAATGTACTTTTTAGCAGATTAGATGCAAAACAATTAGAATGTTTACAAGAGCGCTGTAAGCGCACTATTAGACGCTTCTATTTGACTCTCAGATATGAAGTGCACGCCCTAAAATGTACTATTTAGCAGTTTAGCACCAAAACAATAAGAATGTTTACAACTGCGTTTTAAGCGCACTATTAGACGCTTCTATTTGACTCTCAGATATGAAGAGCAACCCCAAAATGTACTATTTAGCAGTTTAGCACCAAAACAATAAGAATGTTTACAACTGCGTTTTAAACACACTATTAGACGCTTCTATTTGACTCTCAGATATGAAGAGCAACCCCAAAATGTACTATTTAGCAGTTTAGCACCAAAACAATTAGAATTTTTACAACTGTGCAGTAAGCGCACTATTAGATGCTTCTATTTGACTCTCAGATATGAAGTGCACCCCACTAATGTACTTTTTAGCAACCAAAAATTTTTAAGTTTTAAAACTGCAATGTGACAGCAGTATCTGACGCTTCTATTTGACTCTCACATATTAAGTGCACCCCACTAATGTACTTTTTAGCACCCAAAAAATTTTAATTTTAAAACTGCAATGTGACAGCAGTATCTGACGCTTCTATTTGACTCTCACATATTAAGTGCACCCCACTAATGTACTTTTTAGCACCCAAAAATTTTTAAATTTTAAAACTGCAATGTGACAGCAGTATCTGGCGCTTCTATTTGACTCTCAGATATGAAGTGCACCCCACTAATGTACTTTTTAGCACCCAAAAATTTTAAATTTTTTAAACTGCAATGTGACAACAGTATTTGACACTTCTATTTGACTCTCAAATATGAAGTGCACCCCACTAATGTACTTTTTAGCACCCAAAAATTTGACTTTTTAAAACTCTGATGTAACTGCAGCATTTTACGCTTCTATCTGACTCTCAGATATGAAGTGCACCCCACTAATGTACTAGTTTGCAGAATTTTTTCCTAATCTGTCCCTAACAGCTGCAGCATCCTTTCCCTACACTAATAAGAGCTCATGTGCGTGCGGCGCTACGCGACTCCAGCTTATATGTAGAAGTTGGGTCACATGCTCCACTGGCCAATCACAGCCATGCCATTAATTGGCATGGCTGTGATGGCTTCTAAGGGCACACGAGTCAAACGCTTGTTGATTGGCTGCCGTGCAGCCTTTCAAAACGCGCCATTAAATCGCCGAACACCGAACTCCAACCCGAACATACAGTGATATGTCCTTGTTCAGGTCCGGGGTCCAAAAAACTTAATGTTCGGTACGAACCCGAACTTTACAGTCCGGGTTCGCTCAACTCTATATGCAATCATAACCTAATAATTAGGAACAGTATATTATAAGTGTGCATATATGCTAGAACATTCTAGGGAGATGTGTTTTATTTGAATAGTAGGACTATTTTTTTTCCCTTTCAATAATACGACTCATGAGTTACCACCTTTGTTGGGCTAAATCTTTATAGCACCTCCTAGTATAGAGTTGCCACGGGTTGTAGTCTCTGTTGTTTTTGGTTTATACAGGGTATCAATGTATGGGTACACGGATAGTGGGGTTTGGGCTAGGGTTATACGTTGACACTATGCGGTTTTATATTTTATGTAATGTATTGCCTATGCCAGTCATCGGGATTAAGCCAGAGTTATACTTACTGGAAGATGGTTAACATGCTTACCATTAGCACTCAAGGTCTCAATAGTCCCTTTAAAAGATCAGCTCTTATAGAATTTATTAAAGAAGAGCAAATTCAGGTATGCCTCTAACAAGAGACCCATTAGGTGAAGTCAGATAGCGAATTTTATTTAGGTACGCAAAAGGCAGTATTGATTAGGGCGTCAATGCAGGGGAAAAAAAAAGGGGGGTCGCTATGGATATGGATAGCAAAAGGCATTTCTTATGAGAATATTTATCAGGAATGTGATCCTCAAGCTAGATTTATCATATTAATTTGCAAACTTGATAATGTACTTTATACTTAATATATATTCACCCATGAGAGCTTGCCAGACCCCATGGGGCTGAGCGAGACGACGTAGCATGTGCTGCTGTGTCTACCTAGAACGCGAGTGAGAGAGCAATTGAGGGAGCCTAACAGGAGGAAAGGATTTGACCTGTCTTACCTGCGCTATCTGGGGTGTTTCTTGGAGCTTTGTGAGGGGAGGACCTGATGCCGCATGAAGGAACAGGGTAATGAAGGATGGGCTCTCTCCACTCTCTTGAAAAAGGCAACTTTATATGATGTTTGGAGACTCCTCCATCCCCAAGAGTATGACTTTGCTCATTTTTCTTATAGACATTGTTCCTATGCAAGAATTGATATGTTAGTTGGTAATATTAAATTACTTAATTGCATTAGAAAAATCTTTATAAAGACTATTAATTGGTCAGATCATAATGCAGTTATATGGGAAATAGATGCTAACCAGAAGAGTGGCACAATACAGTGGGGATTGAACAAGGCCCTCCTGAACAGTGATAAGAACAGAAAACACATTGATCAGATTACAGATTTTTTTTTTTTAGAAAACAAATTAGCAAACCCGGGCATAAGATGGTTAGCACACAAAGCTGTAATAATGGGCCATTTGATCAAACTGGGTATTTATAAAAAAATAAAATGAGATGTAGTACCTTGGCTTATTTACATCTTACTTTATATAATTTGAAAAAAAAATAACACGATCAGACCTACAAAGGAAGGTTTAATATATATAAATGGGGAAAATCCTATTAGGGAAAGAAATGGAACAACATAGTGCAAAACTGTGCGTTTACAGTGTTTAAATGTAATACAAATGGCCACTCACAAAGATGTGTAGGATGTTATATTTGCCTTCAGTATATATGTAAATGCAGATCTGTTGAAGATCCTGGAAGATTGGTCTCTCCAAGTTGTAAAAAGAAACAGCAAAGTATCCAGTTAAGAGGCAACCTAGATAGAATGCACAAATTTTTTTATTTATTAACTTACATAGAAGTTGACAGGTTTCAGCATAAAAGTAGTCATCCTATGCGTTTCATACCGTTCAGGGACTTCATCAGGGACAATCCAATAATTGTAAAACAATGATAAAACGAAGGGAGGTACAGAGAACATTAGGCATGTCAGAAATCGGATAAATGAATGAAATATGACAAGAACTTCTGATAATTTAGAAAAATGAAACAACATTGGTATATTAATAATAAACGAGTAGATAAAATGCTTACCAACAAATTAAAAAAGCAATCGGAGGAGAATAGGATAGATAAAATAATCCATAACCATAAGATCTATAGAGTTCCTAAAGAGATTGGCCACAGTTTTAACAGCTATTATAAAGCGCTATACAATTGCTCTAAGACGCCTAATTCTTGTAATTTCGATCAATTCTTGTATGGTATTCAAACACCTAAAATTAGTCTAGAACAGAAAGTATCACTTGACAAAACCATCCATCTGAACGAGGTAATTAAGGCCATTGATACATTAAAAAATAAAAAAGCTCCTGATCCGGATGGTTTCAGTACCCACTTTTATAAAATTCTTAAAGCAAAAATAGTTCCCGAATGGTTGCAAGCGTTTAATGATTATATCTATCAATCTAAATGCCCGGCAGGGTTTCTGTCAGCTAATATTCTTCCTATACTCAAGCAGGATAAGGATCTAACGTCTCTAAAAAATTACAGACTGATATCTCTTATCAATACCAATGCTAAAATATTTGCTTTCATTGTGGCGGACAGACTTAAGCTGGTTATTGCTCACGTTATCTCTAAGGATCAAATAGGTTTTGTCCCCGGTCGAAGCTCTATAAATAATAAGTAAAAAAATGTCTTATATGTAAGAACTATTACAATATATGATTTTGTGTAAATGTTTTGGTATATGTATTTATGTCTATTCATAATAAGAAATATATAATAAAGAATTATAATACATTTTTAAAAAAAAAAAAACCTTTTTGGGGCACAAATTACTGGTAAATGTTTGTAAGTCAATAAAGGTGTTAAATGAACCTTTTACACTAGTGTGGGCAAATTTTAGACCCCTACCTAAAACATTCAGTTGATCTTTAGATAAAACCTTACCAGACAAATTAAAACACCTATATTCTAATTCTTCCTCTCTTTCTTTCATAGTTCCCCTTCCTCTCAAGCTCATTTTTTTTTTAGGTAAACGCTAGGCCCGAGAGGAAGGGTTCAATCCCAAAAACTTAGCAGAAGAGGTAGAAGGGTAATGGTCATCTACTCTGTCTGCTGTAGAATTTTCAGATAAAATCCTGTATCTGTTAGCATGAGTGAACTCGGATTTAGGATGTTCAATTCTTGTTTCCATCCTGGAGAATTCATTTCACCCTGAGAAATTACATCTTTATTCCTAGATGGAGGGTCTAATAGCTGTTCCTCCTGAGAAAAAGCAACCACCGTTCTGTTTATTAGGAACGTCATTTTTGGAAATCCTGATCCGGTGTCCCTCTCCTGGATGCCCATCATAAGCCTGTATAGGCACCATCGGTGCTGTTGATATAGAGTCTGGTATGGCTATATCTTTGTGAGTCCCATTCTTCTTTTTCCATAAATTGGACTTATTGTAATCTTACAGAAAGCACTATGTGCATTTCTTTTGATTTCTTCCAGATGTGTCAATTATTCCTGTAATCCATGTATTGTGTGTTCATTGTGGGTGTGATTGTTTTGTGTTTGTGTATTACATTATGTATTTCCTGCTTAAAAACAATACTGTTTGGTGTTCAGCTTCTTTGATACTTTCTGTTTAGCACTACAGACATAGTTAAACACTTTTCAAAAGATTAATCACTTGAACAGTTCTTGCCATGTAACAGCTCTATATTGATTTATTTTGCATATAATTCTAAACTTCTCATGATTGCATTCTTGAAAATAAAGTGACACATTTTAATTTGGCACTTTTAAGTAAACTTTCAACTATGGAATACATTTGGTATAATTTTTCTTATATGCCATTATTGTCATAGGGACAATGTTAAATAATGTTTTAAATTTTTTAAGAAACACAATATAGTGCCTTGAAAAAAAATATATATACATGCTTAAGATTTATGTGCAATGAAATGTTTTCAAAGGAATTGTTCTCTGAGCAATCCAATTAATTTTTCTCCTTCACAAAAGCTAGCGTAGTTTAGCGTTTGGCAGTGTTAAATAGATTTTCCAAAACATGTGAGGATATATTTCACTGTTGTAAATCAGCCATTCTGTGTCACTATCATTCCATAGAACAGTGGAAATTAATGTGTGACATCTATAGTACATTACAAAAAGACTTTTTTTTTTAGCTTTTAAGATATGAATTTATTTTAAGTTAAAAGCGTAATTTTTTTCTTAGCTTTTGATATTCAAATCATGTATCCATAGAATGGTAAAAAAAGATTTTTCTGCTTCTGTTATATAGCTCACATAATTTTGAATTAGCTCAATGGGCAAACACTTGGATCATTATAATATTTGGGCTTTGAAGATGTAATCTGCACATACTTTTGTTTAATCTATATAAAGAATATGGGGGAAAGAACAATGAAAAAGTGTCATTGGCAGCAATTATTTTTTTTGCAGAGGTTAATGCTCTCATTACATTTTCTTGCAAAGTTCTTGTTATAAAGTAACAAAAATCACATTCCTCTAAACTAAAAATGCCTTAAACATGCCTCAGAATTAACTGCACTAGAAAGCCATGGGATGCATTCTAAACATATTGTTTTTTAAATTTACCAGTAACTCTGCATTCTTGCACGTTTACAACATTATATTGCTCTAATAATACACAGATCTTCTGCTACATTTCAGCTGATATTGTTATTTGGAGGACTATGAGATTTGAGATTGATGGGTAGGGATAATTGGAGAGATGCACAAGAGGGGGTACAGTATTAAGAGAGGCATAATGAGTTAAAGCGATGAAGAGGTATTGATAAACAAACAGGGGTTTAATGGATCTTAATGAGAAACACACTAGGGATAAAGGAGAATTAGGAGAGACACAAGGGTTTAAAGTTGAATTGGGGAGTCATACACAAAAGGGGGTGAGCTGATACACAAACCATTTGGTAATTGTGTCTATTGTTGTAGATAATTTGTCTATATCCTGAGAGGCTTGGGGTTGTCTGGTAGCTATGCCCCTGCCAGCTGTCTTGTCTCTGGTTTACTCTCTAGTACTCTATATTCGACAGGCTGCTCTGATCATGTTATAATAACCATAAAACATTAAGTCAGTCTCTTGATTGAAGGGTTATTTACAAAAGGCATAATTTTAAGTGAATTGGAAGTGAATTTCCAATTTAAAGGACCACTATAGGCACCCAGACCACTTCAGCTTAATGAAGTGGTCTGGGTGCCAGGTCCAGCTAGGGTTAACCCTTTTTAAAATAAACATAGCAGTTTCAGCGAAACTGCTATGTTTATGTTAGGGTTAATCCAGCCTCTAGTGGCTGTCTCTTGACAGCCGCTAGAGGCGCTTGCGTGCTTCTCACTGTGAAAATCACAGTGAGAAGACGCCAGCGTCCATAGGAAAGCATTGTGACTGCTTTCCTATGAGACTGGCTGAATGCTTGCGCAGCTCCTGCTGCGCATGCGCATTCAGCCGAAGAGGAGGAGAGGAGGCGGAGAGGAGGAGGAGAGTTCCCCGCCCGGCGCTGGAGAAAGAGGTAAATTTAACCCCTTCCTCCCCTCTCAGCGCCACGGGAGTGGGACCCTGAGGGTGGGGTCACAATCAGGGCACTATAGTGCCAGGAAAACGAGTATGTTTTCCTGGCACTATAGTGGTCCTTTAAGACCAGAACTTTAAATTTGAAATTCACTTTAAATTCACTGTAAATTTTAGTGTATAACCCTGTAAACAAAAGTCTGGATCGGTGGGGGATATCCTGGTCCCCACTGGTGTACTACACTGATCTCTACAATGTTTCCCACGGATCTCGAGAAACTGACAGCTTGAGGCCTACTGACCAAGATGGCTGCCGCTCAGAGCTTTGAATTCCCACATGCTTATGCAATAGAGATATCATGGAAAGAAAGGCTTACACCAGCCCTGGAGCGCCTGTGGTCAAAATTTTGGGATACAATCAGCCAGCAAATGCAGAGGCAACTCCAATCCTGGCCTTGCGTTCAGTTAGCCTGCCATAACTAGTGTCCCTACCACATTACCACAACCGAAGCTGCAAAATAGAGAAAAGAGCCTCAACGCCCGAAGACCGGTCCCCCTCTTACTCGCCGCTTACCTGTGGCATAATCCAAGCGGGGTCACACCCTCTGGAGGTCCTCGAGAGGCAACAACCTGGGAGAAATATTGTACTTGTCTCTGTCGCCATTTGGTGCTGTGGGGAGAGTGTATTGGATTACAGAGAGCCTGGGTTGTTGGAGAGAATGGTTGGGGACTGTGAGACTCATATGTTATAGTGTTTCCCACATGGAAGGCATACGCTGAGCTCATAGGCGTGCGCACGGGGTGTGCCGGGTGTGCCTGGGCACACCCTAATCCCCGCGCACGCCTATGCATATTGAGACCGGCAGGGGAGATCTCAGGATCTCCCCTGTCGGCTCATGCAGAGCCGGCGCTATCTGAGCGCCGGCTCTGCTCTCAGCCTCCCTCCCCACTGACCCACATGCAGGGAGGGAGGCAGGAGAGGACCGGCGGAGCTATTGCCGGCAACTCCGCCGGGCTCCTCTCGCGAGATATGAGCGTTGCCACGGCAATGCTCAAATCTCGCGAGAGTGAACTCTAGCTCCACTGGGGCTAGAGTTCACTCTCCACTGGACCACCAGGGATGGCAGCAGGAACAAGAATCCCCCCTCCCTACATAAGGTAAGAAGGGAGGGGGGATAGCAATTAATGTACCCCCACCTCCACCCACACAATCACACACCCACATACAGCACACACATACAGTACACACAGACATACAGCACACACAGACATACACAGCACACACACATACAGCACACACACAGCACACACAGACATACACAGCACATACACATACAGCACACACAGACATACAGCACCCACAGACATACACAGCACCCACAGACATATACAGCACCCACAGACATACAGCACCCACAAACATACACATCACCCACAGACATACACAGCACCCACACACATACACAGCACCAACAGACATACACAGCACCCACACACATACACAGCACCCACACATACAAGCACCTACACGCATACAGCACCCACACGCATACAGCACCCACACGCATACAGCACCCACACGCATACAGCACCCACAGACATACACAGCACCCACACACATACAGCACCCATACACAGCATCCACAGACAAACACAGCACCCATACACATACAGCACCCACAGACATACACAGCACCCACACGCACACAGCACCCACACACACACATACAGCACCCTCACAAACACACACAGCACCCTCACACACAGCACACACACAGCACCCTCACACACAGCACACAAACAGCACCCTCACACACACATAGCACACTAACAGTACCCTCACAAACACAAACAGGACCCTAACAAACACACACACAGCACACTACCAGTACCCTCACACACAAACAGCACCCTCACACACAGTACATTAACAGCATCCTCACAAGCATGCACACACAAACACCCTCACCCACATAGCACACTACCAGCACCGTCACACACACATCACACTAACAGCACCCTCACACTGCACACACAAAAACACAGCAATGTTTGTATGTGTGTATATATGTGTATGTATATATATATATATATATATATATATATACATATGTATATATATATATGCGGCGTGTGCTTGTGCTTTAGGGTGCACACCCTAATGCAA